TGCCGGCACAACCCTTCACCCCAGGCCACAGAGCACCCCAATGGCTTTGTTGGGGCTCACTGGTCACCAAGGCTCTAACCTCTGTGAAGTTGGGCCTAGGAGCTTCCCTGGCGGCATCGGCAGCTCACCCGGCCCATCTGCCCCTCTCACTGGCTCCTGCACTTGTCACAGACACGTGGGCGGCTTCCTTGGCTAATGTTGTGTTGAATTGTACTGCAAACCGGTGGAGGGCGTGTGAGTCGCCACCCAGGAACACAGGCACAACCCATCATGGCTGCACCACAGGCTGCAGCCGTCAGCTGGAAGGATGAGATATGCGTGTCACCATCATCCTGTTTATCCCCAACACACTCGTCTGAGGGCCTGGAGTGCTGAGCACACGGCAGGGCAGGGTCCCATGGCCTTTCTTCTGTGGCAAGGTCAGCGAGCATGGCAGGAAGCTACTGTCCACCTTTGTGCTGGTTCCACTTGCCAGATGGCATCTGTGCCAGCCTGGTGTGGCTCTGTGAACAGGAGGACACAGACCCTTCCACACTAGTTCTGCTGGACGATGAAACCCTGTCCCTGTGATTCACTCAAGCCGGCCCTGCTGTGCCCCTTGACCCCTGGGTGCCCATGTGTCTGATCCTAGCACCAGCCCCATGACAGACAGCCTCAAGCCAGCTCCTGCATGGCCACCTGCCAGTGCCCCCGCTGCCTGCTGGCCCAGCTCCTGCTCTGACTCACGCCTAGTGTCCACGGTGCCACCAGCCGAGATGCCAGCCGTGATGCCGGCATGGCACTCCAGGCACAGGACACCTCAGTGAGCCTATAGAGGAACCTTCCCACCAGTGGCGTGTCCTGCAGGGGAGCACTTGCAGGCCCAACAGGTGACCACAGGATGCTGTGGCAAGATGCTCCAAGAGTCTGCAGCCAGACCTTGACCCTGCCCTGGGCCTCGGCCAGTCAGGGAGGACCAGGTGTCTGCATGTCCCACAGCAGGGAATGTGTGCGTCTGTGTGTCTCAGAGCTAACCAACTCTTGCAGATATAATTTAGTTATAATCTGTTGCTAATTCCAAATACATAGCAAAGTAAAAACATCTGGAAAACAGCGAGACCTATAATGAACCCTTTGTCTTAGCACTCCGGGCTAACCACTGTGCACACTGCGATGTATCTTCTCAGGGTCTTCTGCACACTGTGTGCGCGCATGCCTGTGGGGGACAGCGCATGCACGGTGTGGCGCAAGCACAGGGTGTCACTCCTCACTGCCCCAGCTGTGCTGCCCTCCCCAGATCACCTGCGTGAAAGCACCTGGAACGCAGCAGATTCTGGGCTCGAGAAACCCAGATACTCTTTTGAAGTTGGAAACACTTTGATTTTCTTACAGCCTCGTCAAGGCAGAAAATCCCCCTCGCTCAGCGGTGAGAGTGGGTATCTGTACACAGCCCAGTTCCCACGGTGCAGCGGCCGCCGTCCTCACGAGGGCGAAGCCTGTCTCCCGGGCTGTGGGTCATGGCGGGAGAGTCTCTGTGGGGACCCCAGGGGCCTCCAGGGTCTGACAGAAGACCCGTCCCCTCTGCAGCAGGATGGGGACAAGGCGGCAGCAGCTTGTGTCACAGTAGAGACCATGGGATGTGCCACAGGGCAGCCCTAGGTCTTGCAGACCAGGCTGAAATGGGCACAGGCTCTCCCCAGCCACAGATCATGTGGCATTTCCCTGGGCCCGTGCACTCACGTACCTCACTCCTTTAGTCCACTCAGTCACCCCAGTGTGTGGCCAGGGCTCAGGGTTGTCACTGTGCCTGGGGTCACAGCCTCTGGGTGGCCAAGCCAAGGTGAGACACTAGGTCTAGTGGACTCCAAAGCCCCAGATATCGGGCAGCTGCGCCACCAGGAGAGGGCTGGGGCGAGTGGCACTGCAGTCTGTGGACAGACTGTCACCTGGAGGTCTTTCGTGGGCATGCATGCTGGGGCGAGGTGGCTGAAGCAAGGAATGCTGGGCATTCTGTGGGGCCTGGTCCCCAGCTGATGGGCACCCACACTGTCCTCGCAGCGTATGGCTCAAGAAGCAGCTGTAAACACAGCCCTGTCCTCTCTGGGCCTCCCACTGCCCTTCTCCCCCAGGGCTCCTATCCCCCTGCACGGCAGACTCTATTCCCTACCCCCGGCTCAGGAGCAGCAGGCTGGCAGAACACCAGAGGCAGGAACGATGGCCTCCGAAGGCAGAGACACCTGGAGCTGTGTCCAGCTGGGTGTGTGGTGTCTGCAGATCCAAAGGTGGGGTTTTTGTGCCTGCCCTGGACCTGCAGCTTCTTATCTGGAACAAGGGGAGCTTCTCAGGAAAGCCAGCGGGAGCAGCGACAGGTGGCTTTCTGAGAATACCTGGGCGAAGTGGCCCTGAGCAGGCACCATCAGCATACCCACAGACTGCCCCAGCTGTGTGGTGGCCTCCTGGTGCAGCAGCCTGGTCTCCGTGCCCAGGTTACCCTCCTGCTCTGGGAGGTCTGTCCTAGGAGTAGAGCAGAGACAAGACGGACAAGGCCTGCCTGTGCGGTGGGGGGACAGACGGCAATCAGAGAGCCACACGTGGGCGTGGGCGCCACTCCTGTGCACCAGGCCCTGAGTCAGTGCTAGTCCTTTGTTGGATGGGTGACTCTCTCCCGGTCTGTAGCTTGTCTATTCATCCTAACAGGGTCTTTCACAATGCAAAGCTTTAAAATTTTGGCGAGGTCCAGTTTATGCGTTTTTATTTTATGGATTGTGTTTCTGGTGCCAAGTGTAAGATCTCTTTGCCTGGATCCTAGAAAATCTCCTGGATCCTGGAGATTTTCTCCCTTTTCAAGTTTTATTGTTTTATGTTTTACATTTAAGTTCATGATATCTTTTGAGTTAAAGTTTATATGTGTGTGAGGTTTAGTTCAAAATGTTTCCTTTTTACTGTGGCTGTCCAGCCTCTCCCACACACTCGCAGCAAAGCCTGCACCTCCACCATGGAATCGCTTTTGCACCTGTGTTAAAAAGTGGTTGGGGCGTGTCTGTGTGGGTCTCCCCGAGTTCCTCTGTTCCGTCCCCCACATCTGCACATGTAGCTTCCATGTAGTGCTGTACGGTGGCCACACGGCGCACCTGCTCGTTGGGAAGAGCAGCCCCCCACTTTGTTTTTTTCCAAAACTGCTTTGGCTATTCTAGGACTTTGTCTACAAAAAAAAAAATCTTGCTGAGGTTTTGATAGGAATCAGACTAGTCCTACAGATCAGTTTTGGGAAAATTGATATATTTACTATACTAAGTCTGCTAATCCATGAACATTGTATCTCTCTATTTAAATATTCTTTGGATTTCTTTCATCAACGTTTTGTAACTTTCAGCATGCAGACACTGCACAGGTTTTGTTAGATTTATACCCAAGTACTTAAGATTTTCTGTAAATAGTATTGCCTTTTTTATTTTGCTTTTCACTCGTTCACTGTTGCTTTACAGAAATAGGAAGCCAGGTCACGCACCACTGCTCGTGACACCCCAGTGAGCCTGCATGCGACCATTCTCTAGCTGCTGTGTGGCAACACACTGTGGCAGCCAGACCCCAGCCTCCAGTGCTGGGCCGGCCTTCCGGACAGGCTGCCCTGCTTTCCGGGGGCGGCAGATGCCAGGCCAGGCAGGGTCCAGGCCAGAGCACAGCAGCTGCCAACTGACAGGCCGCAAGCGTCTTCATTAAGGTTGAGTGTCTGGGTAGCCCCAAGGCACCTGCCAGCCACACTGTGGCTTGTATGCTGCAGACTAGACAGGTGGCAGCTCAGCCGCCCAGACACTGGGAGGAGAGGGAGCCGAAGACAGCACAGGTGGCCCCATAAATACTGATAGCCACAGCCAGCATGTCGTCCTGAGCAATTTGCTTTTTAAAAAATTGTGCTCGGATTTTAAGTGAACAGCCCTAATTACAGTGATTTACAAGGCACCTGGCGACCGGGCGGTATTCAAACATGGCAGAGGTTGATCAGCACATGGAGTTCATTCAGCTTGTTCTGATAGGCCTTGGTGGCTGCTGAGGTGGGTCTAGTGGAGATGTGGCCCCTTCCAATGCCAAAGGGGACAGAGTCAGAGGAGAGCAGGGCTCAGAGCCCTGGGATGGGTGTGGAGGGTGGGCTCACTGGGGCCCTACAGGACGGGCATGGCTTGTCTGTGGGGCTGGCGTGGTGCACACACCTGAATCTGCCTGCCTTTGGGATCCACAGCAAGAGCAGCACTCACCCGCCCCGACCTGGAGGGGAGGGGACTAGGGAGGGGCCTCATTCCCCCAGAACAGCCAGAGGCTGGCCCTGGAGGCGCTGTGGTGTGGGGGTGTTGGTGTGAGGCTTTGCCCATCCAGCGAGGGCAGCAGTCGAGGTGTGGATGAGGGAGGGTCCTATCTATTCCAGACAAATAATGACCCAGCCCCCAAAGCCTGCCAGCACCCGGGAGGGGCCAGGAGGCCACCACTGCAGTGGCCAGGCCCTCCTGGGTGTGGCAGCCCCAGGTCGAGGGAGGGAGAGCCTTTTCTCCCCACCCTGCTCCCACCCCGGCCCGTGCCTCTGCCTGGCTCCCGCTTGCTCCTGACAGCTGCAGAATCGGCCCCTCTGACATTTAGGGGAAAACTCAGAATCAAGAGCATAAGGCAGAAATGAAAGGATTTTCTTGGTAAAAGGTCAGAGTGGTTTCTCTTGTTTTTGTTTAAAAATGGTTTGTGTTGAACTATGACAAGGCCGAACATGCTAACCAGGAGTGGGGGCAGGGGAGGCCCAGCGAGAAAACAGAGGAAGATGCTCGAATAAACAGATGAGGCCACTCACGGTGCCGGGCCAGGACAGCGGGGGTGGCACAAAGCCAGCAGCCCAGACAGCTGCCTTCAGCCACACGGGCGCCCCAGGTTCCTCTTGCCCGGGGTGCAGTCAGCAGCAGCTGGAGGAGCTTCCTGGCCAGGGAGGGGAGAGACCTACCAGGCCCTCCTGTGCTGATCACCGTCCTTTCTCTCCCCTGCAGGCCACGGGACCCTCTGGCTCCAAGATGCAGCTGCTGGAGACGGAGTTCTCGCGCACTGTGGGCCCACTCATCGAGCTGCACCTGCTGCGCCAGGACAGCATCCCGGCCTTCCTCAGCTCCCTCACCCTCGAGCTCTTCAGCCGCCAGACCGCCGTGGCCTAGGCGGCAGGCCAAAGCCCTCCTGCCCCGGCCTGTCTCTGTCCGCCACCCGGGTGCTTGTCCTCCCCCAGCAGCATCATGATGTGGTGGCCGTCACAGCCCCACGCCCATCCGTGTGGACACTGTCTCAGCCCTGAGGCCGCTGAGCTCAGCCTGCAACCGCTCCCCACCGACGTGGCCCTCCCCGCCACCCACCCACGCACTCTAACCCCGTGCATCTGGAGCCTTAGGGTGGGCCTGCAGCCGCCAGGCGGTTTCCCACTGTATGAAATAAAGTTTCTTCCCCAGCCACCCTCCCAACTCTGTGTGTGTCTGAGGCCTCAAGCCAATGGCTCCCTGCTCCACGCTCTGCCAGGCCCAGCCCCTACTGCTCACCGCCGTGTCCCCTAGGCACCAGAGATGGCCACCTCTCACCTCCTGGCCCAGAGGTGTGTAGGGAGAAAGGGCCACAGTCAGGGGCCGTTGCCTGGTCCCCCCACCCCGGCAGAGTAAGGCTGCTCTGAGGCTCTGTGTTGGGATGCCAGTGGGACCAGAAGCCAAAGCCACCTCTGCCACCTCCAGCCGGACTGCTGGCCTGGGCTGGGGGCTCTGACTCCACCTCCCAGCCCCACCCTCCCTGCCCAGCACCTCCACAAAAACACAATGTCCTCTGCATGGATGCCGCCTCCAGGCCTCAGATGGGGAAAGTCAGGGTCCCCTTCTAGGTCTTGGGCTAGAAAGTTGGGGTTCAACTTCAAGTGGGCCCCCTCTTGAGAGAGAGTGGGGTGCTCCCAGCCTGGATAGGAAGCACAGCTACCTGATTCACCCTGCACTCCCCCATCGGGCCTCCTCGTTGGCTTCTGTTTCTGGACACCAAGGTTCGAGTAGGGTCTGTGAACCTGGGGGTTGGGGTCAGGGAGGCTTTATCGGGGCCTGCTGGGCGTGTCCCTTACAGTCCAGTGGATGCAGAGCAGGGTGAGATTTGCCAGGGGTCAGGTCCCCCGCGGCTGGGTCCTGCCAAACCCCAGAGCCGCGAGTCTGTGCGGCCCCACTTCCGCCCTGGGGGTGCTGTGTCCCCACTTCCCAGGTGAGCACACCAGGCTCTGGTGGCCCTCACTCCACACACCCCTGGAGGCATCCTGGGTTCCCTGTGCCTGCAGCCCCTGCCTGAAGGTCCATCCTCATTACTATTCCCTTCCCGCCCCCTCGCAGGTGGGGGCCTCACCATCAGCACGGTGACAGGGACAGCACAGCAGCCACCATCCTGGCAGGACTCTCTGCCTGAGCCACGTGGAATCCAGCCCTGCCCCCGCAGCAGCCACACTCCCAGTCGGAGTGTTTCTGGCAGAAGTCAGAGTGAAATCATTCAGACAATTATTAAGCATCTATGGTGTACTAGCTCTGCTTCAAATGCTGGGATACATTGGAACAATGAAGAGTTCTGTTCCCTGTCCTACGCCACCTGGCACCTCCAATGGGGATTTGGGGCCCTGTGACCCGTCTCCATGCTCGGCCCTGCTTTCTCCACTCGGGAACCCCAAACCCACTATTTGCGGAAGGAAAGGCCTCCACGGGTGTCTATGGGCCCCAGGCTCGGCTGTGGGGGAGCAGCCTGTCCCTCCCACCTGCCCCCACACCCCTTGGAGCACCTGGGTGAGGCCAGTGCAGGCCCAGGGCAGGTGAAGCTGTTTCTGCCTGGACTGGGCCTGCGTGTGTCCAGCAGCAATGCCATGTCCAGGACAAGCCTGGCACGGGACCATTGGCCCTTGGAAATGGACTTCAAGGCCATGTGTGTGCACATGGGTGTGTGTGAGTGCGTGTCTATGTGCACGTCTCTCATTCTGCGGAATCCATCAAGCCCCGGGAGGGCGGTGCTGAGGCTGCAGAGCCCCAGAGTGGCCTTGGTGCAGTGAGGAGGCTGAAGCAGGAGGTGGGTGCCAAGCCCAGGGACACCTGCACCCCCATGTGCTGGGTGAGGCCAGGCCACTCTGCCCCTGGGGCCCCAGGACTCCTCGGGCCTCACTGGAGCTGGCTCGGCTGCTGGCAAACTGCCAGCCTGTGGCCACAGGCCAGAACTCCTGGCCATGACTGGACCCAGCCGCCAGCCCCACTCCCACTCGCCCTCTGGCTTCAAGCCCAGGGCCCACAGGCAAGTCACCACAGACCCCCTCACTTGGTGCCAACTCCCTGAGAGGTACCCTCTTACAGGCGAGGAGATGGAGGCTCAGAGACCTGGCCGAGGTCACACAAGGGGGACACAGGCTGTCCTGAGTTGCCCCACAGGGAACAGGGGCGGGTCCGCCTGCTCCCTTCTCACACCCCTACGTCTCAGAGCACCCTGGGGGCCTGGGCTACACGCTCCTCCAGGGCTGCTGGCCCCACCCCAGTCATCAGCCACAAACAAGTCCCCATCCCCATGCAGGGACCCACGTCAGCCTCCAGACATGGTTCTCATTCCTGCCTCAGTTTCCCCTTCCTCCCTCCACAGCTGGGGCGTCTCTGAGTCCCCTTCCAGTGGAGAGCCGGGGCTGGCCTCTCCCCTGTGGGCTCCCCCAGGCTCTGCGCCAGCCCCCACCCCCAGCCAGTGCCCACAGAGGCACCCGGTGGCAGAGGCTGCGGGCGGCAGGTGGTTCTGCTCCTTCCGGGGTTTCCTTCCCCGGGAAGAGGCAGGGAGGGGCAGAAGCTGCCGTCCCACCTCCAAGGGACGTGTCTAGGCAGGCCTCGGAGAGCAGAGGTCCCCAGAACGTCTCTCTCGGCAGATTTAATAAGCCTGCAGCTCGAGTTTGTCAAATCCTCTCCACGCGCCTGCCAGGTGGGGTTGAAATGAAACAGCGCGGGGAGCGGGGGAGGCAGCCCCGCCCGTCCCCGGCCCGGTTCCGGCATGTCCCCGCTTCCGCCAGCACCTTAGTGGGCGCTCGGCGCTAAATAGTTCTTAAGCCGCTAATGACTAATTTTAGGGGATTAGTGCCGCAGCGATAAACTGTAATTGCCAGGATGTAACAGGATTTGGTGGGCTGCAGGGCTCCTTCCAGCTCCCCGGCCGGGGCGGACAGTGCCGCCTGCCGGGCCCTGCAGGGGACCCACCTCCCAGCCCAGCACAGCCGTGCTGTGTTTGCTGCTGTCGCTTTCCTTTCTGCATGTGCCCGGTGAGGGTTCTTCTGGAGACGCATAAATCCCTGGTTTTCTCCAGCTCCTCCCACTTCGGAGTGTGGTCCCCGGAGGCAGCAGCCCGGGAGCTGCCTAGCAAGGCCCGTGTGCGGGTCCTGCCCTGCGCGTCAGAGCTGGCCACCGACGACCCCCAGGCTCATCCTCGCTGAAGCTCTCACCCGACTGGAACATCCCAGATACAAAGCTCTTCCCACCTGTGAGCTCATCCCCATCCCATAATGATCCTGCAAGCTGGGTCTTGCCGGGGGAGACTGGGATTCAAGGAGGGGTGCCGACCTGCAGCCACAGCAAGTCTACGTGAGGCCCTTCCCAGCCCGGCTTCCGCGTCCAGCTGGGCCACGTCCCTCCTCTTAGTGCTGCCAGGACGCCAGCCCCAAGCAGAGGCCAGGACCTGTGGCCCAAGACCACGTTGGAGGCATGACTCGGAGCTCCAGGGGCTTTGACCTTACATGAGTGTGTGCACACGTGTACATGTACATGCATGTATACACGCCACTTTGTCACACCTGTGTACACACATGACCTGTGTGTGTACGTGCAGGAGCATGCACATGTATGTGTACCTATGTGACTCATGTATGCCCATGAGCGTGTGTGTGGCTTATGCATGTATGCCTTACAATTGTGGGAATTCGTGTGTGTGTGCTTATGTGCATGGCCATGCATGGCCATGTGTACATGCATGACTATGTACCCCGTGTGTGTATCCCTGCTGGCACCATGGGGATAGGTGGCTTCACTGAATGGTTACATTTCCACTTCAGTCCCAGAGAGGGTGAGGGCCTTGCCCCAAGTCACACAGCAACAGAGGACCGACGAGGGGCCTGCAGCCTGGTCAGAATCAGCCGGCCTGCCCTGCCTGTCTCATTGTGTTTCACATTTTCTTTTCTTTAAGTGCACAATTCTGATGGATTTCTAACATTAAACAAACAAAACAAACCCCTCCAACAATAGAGTAAAAAGACGAAGTTCCTCTTTGGCCACGGCCCGGACGTGCCTGGGGGTGGATGTGCACACCCGGCATGGGCGTGCGAGGCGCGTGGCTTTGTTTCACTGCGGCGTGCGTGAATTTAAAATAACTGCGTGTCGCTCCACAGCTTAGTTTCTCTCACTTAACGGTATGTCTTGGAAATTTTCCATAAAAGCATCTACTGAACTATTTCACTAGATTTGTTGTTGTTTCCTAAACACTCAAGAATTTTTATTGAAAACGATGACATACAAAAACACCAGATTCTCATTTTAAAGTAAAATTGACAGCATTTTTCAGAACTCCCCTAGTTCTACAACTGTACCTTTTCAAGAATGAGCAGCAGGAGGTTTTGTTTGTTTGTTTATAATGTTCTTATTTCTGAGGACTAGGCTCCGCGTCTGCCCTGAACATGCGGGTCCCACTCCTGCCTCAGGGCCCTGCATGGCCCTTCCCTGCCCCGGCGTCCCCCCAACATTCAGCTGGCTGGTCCTCCACGATGGGCTCAAATGTGCCCCCCAAACTCGCTTCGAACCCTCACCCCAGGACTTCAGAACAGGGCTGCATTTGGAGACAGTGTCTTTAAAGAGGTGATCACGGTAGCATGAGGTCATGAGGGTGGCCCCAGTCCCATGTGACTGTATCCCTACGAGAAGAGGAGGTCAGGACACAGACAGGCACAGAGGGACGACCCCGTGAGGACACGGGAAGATGCTGTCTGCAAGCCCAGCCCTGCTGCACCTGGAGCTTGGACTTGTGGGATGACACTGCCAGGTCCGCGAGGCGTATTCCGGTGCCCAGGCTGGCTCACACCCCACACGCCTGCCTCCCCCGGCTCCTCCCCGTGCACCTCCGGAGCCGGCTTCGTTCTTCCTTACGGCATTTTTCACTAACTGGCATTTTAACGCATAATTTATTTGTAATATACATGTATTGCATAGTACAGGATACGCAGTAATATATTTTAATCAGCTTAGAGCATCTCCTCACCCATAGAACAGGGATGTCACGAAAACCGCATATTTTAACTTTTTAGTAGCCATGTTAAAATGTAAACAGACTAGTGAAATTCATTTTAATATATTTTATTTAAACCACTATAACCAAAACTTTTATCATTTCAACATGCAATCCATGTGAAAATTTGGTGCGACATTTCACCATCTGATTTCTG